AATAATAACAATGATGATATTAGTAACACGGAAAAATTGTGTGCATACCAGTTAATTACCATGGTCAAATAAAATGATATATATATAGAGAGAGGGGGGAGAGGGGGAGATAGAGAGGGAGAGATAAACCAATAATTAATGACAATAAATTAAAACAAAACATCATATATGGGGATGGGGAACAATGACAATAATAATAATAATAATAATAATAATATAAATAGGTATCTATCTACCTGTTTTCACTTATTTATTTGTTTATTCAATTTTCTTTTACATTAAAATTATCACCTAAATTATTAGATCATCAATGATCAAGGAATTCAATTTACTTTACAGGAATACATCAATATTGAACAATCATAAATAATCCATCCATTTATCTAAATATCCAGTCATCTATATAGATACATTTCAATGGAATAATGTAAATATACCCATAAACAGTTTATGTTTTCTTTCCTTAATTTTTTTTTTAGTTTTTTTTGGTTCCTCATTTTTTATGATATGACAATTACCTTCTGCTCTTCTATTCTATATAATCGAAATACTTCCTTCCTAAAAAAAAGGAAAAAAAACAAAATAATAATGCAGTTTCTTCATAAATCAACAAAACAAAAAGCTTCATAGATGACAATGAATGATTCTTATTGCCCTTCTACTTAATCTTTACCTGTTTTGTATATCTCCATTTGATTAAACAAAGATTATTTAATATGAATATAGTTAATATGGGTTATGATTAGTTTGACAGGAATCAAGTCAAGTATGTAATCAATATATTTTACATTTATTCTTTTTAATTTTTATGACATAAGGTATCCTTTAATTTATTACTATTATTTTTTTTTTGGTATCCAATCGAATTAAAGTTCCCATTTTTTTTCACTTTTTAAATGAATACCTGTTAAGTTTTAGAAAAGAAAAAAAACTGTGAAAAATATGTTTGTCAAATTAAACTTTTTCGATTAGAAGGAGTTTTGTGGAGATTTAAATATTTTCATAGTTGAAATCATGAGTTAATTGAAGCTAGATAACTAAGGAAAACCTGGATGCACTGGATGACCGTTTCATTCTATTCTGGGACTCCTAAGTAGCACACATCCACGATTCCGTCTAGCCTCAATTGACTCATGATTTCAACTCTGAAAATACTGAAATCTCTACAAAAACCCCTTCTGATTATAATCATATGCTCACTAGTGACTGACTTCAAGAGATAATTCCTGGAGTTCTAGTGAAAAGCAGTGACCAGTGGAGTTCAACCTAGTCTGTTGAAGACAATTGGTGAACGGTTGCTCTAGGAGCATCAAGGTAATATAATTTTCTCTAGAATAATTAACATTAAACAGTAAATCACAATAGATTTGTTTCTGTTCTGTTCATTATTTAAATGCAATTGAAATTGGTAATCAATGATAAAATATAAATAATGAATTCAATTAAGTTAGAATTGATACTGATGATATTATCAGAAAAGGTTTTGTGGAGTTCGATGGATGTGTCGCTCAATTTCGTGGATCGTTTGAAGTTAGACATTAACACTGTCGGATGCCGGACAGCTCCGTGGTCTAGAGGTTAAGAGCTGATAAGTCCTGGGTTCGAATCTCGCGAGGCTGGATCGTGGATGCACACGCCTGAGGAGTCCCAGCAATAGGATGAAACGGCCATCCAATGCTTCCAGGTTTTTCATGTTGGTCTAGCTTCAATCGACTAATGAATTCAACTATAAAATTACTAATGACATTATCCAAGAAATGATAATAAAACTGTTCAGTTAAGTATATAAGAACTTTCGTCTAAATTAGAGTGAATAGTTTCACAATATTTGGCGCCGAGTTGATGTAATACATTAAATAGGAATAATATATTTGTAAAATCTCAGCGAATGAATCTGAAGTAAAGCCAACATTTCCCCTGACAATCTGGTCCCAGCTATTTCAAGGAAATAAGCGCGGATCAACTTTATTTTCCATATATTTACATGTCTAACAAGAAAATATTTAAATTTATACAGTTAATTGAAACACTTTCAAAACTATCTTAGTCATAATTCAACTTATAATGATCAATCTGATTAGAATATTCTAAAAAAGAAGGAGGTAGCCACCGATGAATAATGGGTGATCATTACGCAATATCGTGGGTTGACTTTTACACCATTTGATCGTGGCTCAGTGGCTTAGAGGATAAGCATTCACTTACGACATCAAAAGTCTTCGGTTTGGCTTCTGTTGACGGGATTGTCATTACGTACCATTGAGGAGTCTCATATTAGCACAAGGCGGCCATCCAGTTCTTTCAACTTTTCATTGATTACCCCCAAATGCCCTGGTACGGTCGAGGGTTGGAAGACTCCGCTCTCCCTATCCAAATGCTCTCACGTAGTCATGGCATATAAAGCCACCTACTGATTGCCTTCTCGTGACAACAGTGTTGTTCACGAAATTGACAGAAAGAAAAGGGAATGTCCGGTGCTAAAACCGAATTGGTGGATATGGAGGATCCCCATGGTGGAGTTGGAAAACCCTTAATCCAAGCCAATGGTCACATAGACTCGACGATCTTGAAAGAATGAATGGCATATGAATTTATTGTTAGTTACCGGTTACCATGAAACTGCATCTTTTAACACTGTTCCATTGCCTTGTTGATTAGACTTGTAGGTCAATAGCTCGAGGAAGTGTCTCACTAGAAAAACCACCTTCTTCTGTCTGGGCACCCGGGTAGTTTCATAGCCCACACACAAATCAACTGCATCTGTATTCAGTGCTCCATTTTATCAATATTTATGTGTTCGAATAAGTAAATAAATAAAGTTCAGTTGATTCCTAATCCCAATAAAGTTCAACAACCTCCACAATACTCATACTGATACTCAGTAAATCATTTATTGGAAAATATTTACTTTAGTGAATCCACTAAGATCTGTTGTATTTCGCAGAAAACATATCCCTTAATCACGAAATAGTAAGTCATCATTCTCAACAGCATCCATATCAGTTGCACAAATATCAACATAGACTACAAGATCACTGAATAAAGACAAATATCATGTTTTTTTTTTAGTCCTTAGTATCGGTTGGATCCTATGTATCGAGCAACAATGTAGTAACTAGTTTAAATGATTAAACATCTGGTGGACTATCTGAAGATGCCAAGTGGTTTGAGATAAACTGTAGGGAAACATAAGCTGCATTAGAGAATTACAGGGAGCAGATCAGAGGTACCTCTTACCGATGGGTGCCAAAGAGAGTTCAATTTAGTATTTCAACTATTATTATGAACCTTGGTTAAAACGAATACATAATTAAGGAAGTTTACCATCAACTTCTTAACCATCATTCTTTACAGTATATTTAATATATGGATACCAGTGAAACCCAATACACACGTTTATTCTTATATGATACTTGTCTGCTAAATGTTTAAACATCCGAGTTTGATGCCTGAACAAAGAGCGCTATCAAGTGAAGATCCGAATATTCACTACGTGAATTTATATATCTATTCTTAATGTTGAACAAAAATAAAGAGGGAAAGTTGGGATCTTTAAAGCTGCCCACTTGATAAGAGATGACTTTGAATAAATCACTTTCGAGCAATTTGTCGTATAAAATTTGACTTGAATATGACTGAGATAACTGGTTTTTATCTTATCAAACAAAATAATTACATCGAAGGAAATTTTATAATCACTAACAATAAATTAACCACTAAACACAGTACACAATTTTGATTTCACGTGATTTACAAATAATTGTTTATTTTCCTATTCTAAATGTCAACTACTATTTATTTCATAGGTTGTATTACGGACTGATCTTAGTTGGATAGCCATTGAAAACCAGGAAGCACTGGAAAGCTGTTTCATTCAGGTATGGGACCCCACAAGGTTATGAATCCCCGTCTTTACCGGTATGATCAAACCTATGATCCTCAGGTCCCACAGTTATTTACTATATAGAGATTAACTTATTTCAAGCCTACATTTATGAGGAACATGTACAGAAATCCCTTTACAACTTTTCCCTCCAATACTTCTACATACAAACTTCAATTGACTCATGATTTCAACTATATAAAATTAGTATAATATCCACAAAACCCCCCTTCTGATAATGAACATATGCTCACTAGTGACTGGCTCCATAAGGTATTTCCTAGAGTTCTAGTGAGAAGCAGTGACCAGTGGAGTTCAACAAGGTCTGTTGTGAGATATCAACTCACTGAAGACATTGGTGAATGGTTGCTCAATTTTTGTGAATAGGTTGAAGTTAGACATTAACACTTTTGGATGACGGACAGCTCAGTGGTCTAGAGATTAAATGCTCACGTGTAAGACTAGGAGGTCCTGGGTTCGAACCCTGTGATGTGGGATCATGAATGAGCACTACTGAGGAGTCCCAGAATAGGACGAAACGGTCGTCCAGTGCTTTGAGGTTTTCCATGTTAGTATAGCTTCAATTGACTCATGATCTCAACTGTATTAAATATAAATGTATAAAACCAGTTATTTAAGCATGGTTACTCATAGTTTTAGACTGATTCAATATACAAATAGTGATATTTGCCAAACTAAGTTTGATTTCATAAAAATTTCATTGACCAATTCAATTTTTATTTTGCTCCCAATCACTTTGTAGTGAATAATAATTTAAAAAATGTAAATCGAATGTACCATTTGAGTTTAAAATTTGAGTTAGATTTTGTTTCACGATGTGAGTTTTAATATGATCACTCTTAAATTTAAATTATTTCCCTATTTATCAAATGAATAAACGAATAGCGTGACTAACCAATCAGCGAACAGACCGTTGATTAACTGAAATTTGATTGGTTAATCTACTAGAAATTCCGTTTTTTTTCGTATATATGTTTATTGTTAAATATTAGTAATCTAATATGCGTATGTGTGTGTGCGTGCGTGCGTGTGTTATTCATATATATATATATATATATATATATATATATATATATATATATATATATAGTTACCATGAGAACAGTCGAATGAATAATATTCAATAAGAAAAAAAACACCTATTTTGTTTATTTTTTAATGTAATTGTTCTAATTAAAAGTTCATAAATGCAAACAGCTAATTATTTAACAGATATTTCATATAAACTATCAGAATTAGACTGTAATTTATCTACTTTATCATCATCATCAACAATAACAGACAAATTGAATTCATCATCTTCATCATCATTTTTAATTACAGATATTTTAGCTTCAAATGATTCTATTAATGAAACTGTACATTTAACAAATGAGAATTCATCTACTGATGAATTGATTTTAGTACAGAAACAAAATCAACAACAAAATGATAATGAAGATTTTAAACGGTTTCAGTATGATAAAAATATATCAATGAAAACATTTACCGATTATCATAATGATAATAATAATAATCTTCACACTAATATTGATAATATTCATATATGGCAATTGTTATTTGAATCATTATTTACTAATTCATCATTAAATACAGAACAATTAGAATCATTATTATCATTCACACGTATATCACAAAATGATTGTTCTAATATATTTCAAGAGAAACTACAAACAAGTCATCCATATGAAGAAATATTTCAATATTTACCATTGGAAGAATTATCACAACAATCTCAAGAAATAAATGAAAATAATGGACTTAAATCAACTATCGATTCAAATAATATTCATTCATTAAAACAATTATCTTATAAAATTTGGCGGTTATTTCAAGAAACATCAATAAATAATAATAATAATAATAATAACGAGAATATTAAAGAAATAGAGAATCATTCTATAACAAGTTACAATGAACAACAGTTGAATAATCAGCACAAAGTTCCATTATTCTGGACAAAATCATATGAACAATATTTCCGCCATACAATGAATCATTTAAAACAAACGGAATATTCAATCTCCAATACTGATAATAATAATAATACTATTAATAGTAATGGTAATAATAACGAGAATAGCACTGATAATATCCACCCTAAAAATAAGATTCAGAAAAAAGAAGAAAAACAAGAAAATCATTGTAGTCAAGGGAAAGATTTTAAAAAATTATCAAATTTTGATAATGTAAATACAAAAATTGATAAAATAAAAACTTGTCAATTATGGTTTAATTCTATGAATAATTTAAATATACGACAAAAATTATATAATTTATATAAAACTAATTACATAATGAAAAATTATTGTCCAAATATGGAAACTTTGAAAATGAATGAAGATTATTCATTGAATAATAACAATATTGTAAATAATAATAATAGTAATGGTAGTAGTAGTGATAGTAATGGTAGTATGAATAACAATAATAATAATAATAATAATGATACTATTAATAATGATCCGAATAATATCAATAATCTATCTATACCTTCAAATTCTGCATTAGATGCTTTAATTCATATGACCACATCTACAATGCAACAATTAAAACATGATGGTGATTTCTCAGGTAATTATTGAATCAAATTTCTTTTTTTTCATTGAAAATAATCATTCAATTATAATCTTATAACAAAAAATTACAGATATATCTTATTGAAGTTATTCTTATTATTATTTAAACTCATAAATATTGGTACAAAGGGACATCAGTTATACATGCGCCATGCGAATCTCATTTGATTTGTATGAGGGCTGTGATACTGCCCGGGTGCACAAACCGAAGCAGGTGGTTTCCTTAGGGGGCCACACCCCGAGACTTTGACCTAAAGATCTGATCCACAAGGCAGTGGAGCATCATGAGGAGATGCAGTCCAATGGTAGCCGATAACCAACAATTGGTTCATACGCCATTTGTTCCCTGAGGATGCTGGAGTCCATGTGCACCATTGGTTTGGAATTAGGATTTTCCAACTCCTCTAAGTGGACTTTCCGTGTCCACCAACACGGTTAAAGCGCTGAGCATTTGCTTTTCGTCCTCTCACTTTCGTAAACAACACCTGTGATACGAGAAGGCAGGGAGTAGGACTTCTGCGGCAGAGGTTATATATTCACTGGCCATGTGAGAGCATTTCGAGAGGGAGAGCGAACTCTTCCCACTCTCGGCCGTACCAGGGCATTTGGAGGCATCTTATTGAAGAGTATAAAATAACATGAATTCTAGGTAATGTAGGGTTTTCTATCGATTACATTCAACCGAGTAACATGAAATTATGTTCCATGAAATGTTAAATTAGTTAGACTAGAGATAAGACTATATGTTGATTAATACAATTGAATTAGTACTAAAGGAGTAGACAGATATAATATTAACATAATTATCTATTTTTGTAAGATCATAATGATCAGAAATTTGAGTTCCTGATGTTGTCACAACTTAATTTAAACTACATGTTCAGAATAAACAAACAAATAATCCAATTAAATCAACACAGAATTAAACAGTAAAAAGTAAAATTAAGTTCAGTCATCTGGAGAATAAGTTTATTTTTAATAGTTGAATTCATGAGTCGATCTAAACTAGACTACCATTTGAAAACATGGTAGCAGTTGACGACCATATCATTTTAGTATAGAAATCCTTAGCAGTTAGACATTAACACCATTGCGTGCCAGCTCAGTGGTCTAGATGTTAAGTGTTCTCGCGTGAGATAGAGGATCCTGGGTTCAAGTCTTATGTGATAGGTCATGGATACTCACTGCTAAGGAGTCTCATACTAGAACGAAACGACCTTCCACTACTTCCAGATTTTCAATGTTGGTGTTGCATGTATGAATGATAGATGAAGTTCTACTATCTAGGATGATACTACCAATTTAATGATTAGTTAACTTGGTGACTAAAATTACTATTTATTTTTGGCATCATTTAGCTAATTAAACTAAATATATAAATGCTTATGACATATTCTACATGGATATTTAGTTGTTACATTTGTCTTAAGAATAGTTTGTCATTAAAATTTCAATATTAGATGAATAATAAGTAAATATAATATGGGTTTTTTTGCGAATATTTCATTTTATTCTATGATCTATCATCGATAGTGATTTAAATATCATCTTCATAGACAATGTCAAGTTGTAACTAGGATATCTACATTCATACTATGTTAATTGGAAATCTTTTTAAATTCTCATTCTCAAATTCTACTCAATCATGAGTAATGAGGGTCAAAAAGACGGTGATAAACTTTTCCAGCTGTAAACACATAGTTATATACAGCTCCCAATTTCCTTAGTACAGCTGAAAGTGAACAGAGTCAGCTATCCCTCCCCAGATACTCTCAGATAGTCATGTATATACAGTCACTGTCACGAAGGTCCTACTCACTGCCTTCTCGTCACAACGGTGTTCTTTACGAAATTGAGATGATGAAAAGTGAACGTCCGAAGCTCTAACTGAGTGGATGGATATGGATGATCCACATGGTGGAGTTGGAAAACCCTGATTGCAAACTAATGGTGCACATAGGCTGGACGATCCTGAGAGAATGAATGGCGTATGAACCTGTTGTTGGTGCCTTCTTGTACCAGTTTTTATATGTTTAGATAAATTATATACATATATACAGCAAAAACCATAAGATATCTAATTTATAAGTTCATGAGAAATTTGCCAGATCCCTTTTAAAATCTCAGTTCAATTGTCTAATCCAATAAACCCTTTAACAGAATCCCCTGAAACTTTTATTCTTATTAATTGTTGATTACTATCATCCCAATTGCCTTATTAACAATTAATGCACAATTCGCTAAAATTTCATTCTCTTTCACCCTTTTATTCTATTAATTAATATAATTTTATTAAATGTTGCTCTTGTTGTAAGGAATAGTGTCAACTTTCACTATGAGACGTTATAACTCTTCTATATGAAAACTTTTCAACTGTCAGGGCAGAATTAGAAATAGTTTAAATGATTTCTTTAGTGGTTGGTGTATTTTTAATAAGGGTCTTCATTAAAAGAGAGAGTTATTGAAATCCAAGCCCAATAGTTCATCATTCATTCAGTCTTGTGATCTTAATTAATTTGTCACAGTTTAACCACATCGGGATTATGGTTACTTACTTACTTTCGCCTGTTACTCCCAATGGAGCATAGGCTGCCAACCAGTGTTCTCCCATTCACTCCGTCCTGGGCCTTCCTTTCTAATTCTATCCAGTTTTTGTTCATTCTTATCATGTCTATCTCCATTTCTTGGCGTAATGTGTTCTTTGGTCTTCCTATTTTCCTTTGGCCTTCAGGATTCCATGTGAGGGCTTGTCTTGTGACTCAGTTGGGTGACTTTCTCAATGTGTGTCCTATCCACGGGATTACGGTAGTTACTCATAAACAGTAGTGAAAAATAGGTCTACCGTTCCGTAAATTTATTCAAACTAATAATGAAAACCATTATATACTGATTTAAAAGTTAATCAAAACCTGGAGATTTTTGATTCAATCCAATACTAAAATAAAACATCTTTCTTGTACTTCCTGCTTTCTAACGGTTTTGTAACTTAGGTCAGCCTATAACTTAAACCCTAAAAGATATTTAATATAGTTCAAAGGTTTATTTATTTACTGTCATTAGTTAAATAAGTAATATATAATCTTGTATAGTCTATGTTGAAGGGACTTATAAACAGTTTCCAGTCCACTAATCACATCTTTGATCAATACATGAACAATATATTATTCTATTTTAAAATAACATGATTTTCATACACCTCTAATCATCAAAGTAAATTTACACTATGTCATTAAATCTAGACAATATGTATAATCTATTGAATATCCTCAACTGACAAGAAATTGTCTTTGAAATTATTCAACCATCTAGTATTTTAGTGAACAATACAGTTCTGCTTTATATTTTCTAGTTGTCAGTAGTAAAGATTATTAGTTGTCAATTCATTCAAATAAATTACCTGTGGTAAATCTATTCTAATACATTCAATTTCATGCAGAGTGAAGCTTTGATTCATCTATCTATCTATCTATCTATCTATCTATCTATCTATCTATCTATCTATCTATCTATCTATCTATCTATCTATCTATCTATCTATCTATCTATCTATCTATCTATCTATCTATCTATCTATCTATCTATCTATCTATCTATCTATCTATCTATCTATCTATCTATCTATCTATCTATCTATCTATCTATCTATCTATCTATCTATCTATCTATCTATCTATCTATCTATCTATCTATCTATCTATCTATCTATCTATCTATCTATCTATCTATCTATCTATCTATCTATCTATCTATCTATCTATCTATCTATCTATCTATCTATCTATCTATCTATCTATCTATCTATATGTATATATATATATATATGTATATATTTACCTACCTACCTACCTAACTACCTATCTATCTATTAATATATATACGCTACAAATTGTTTTAATTATCATTATACATTTATATTCTATTATATGAAAAGAATTTCTATCAAATATTAATATTGACAAAATAATTAGTGAAATTAATCAGAAATTACTTGACAACAATTTTAAGAATATAGGACTACTCAATAGTCACTTCATTGTACAAGCTAGTGGCTATCAGAGCTCAGTAGCTAATTGGATAATGAGATGGCGTTTGAATTGATAGGCACGGGGTTCGAGTCTCGGAGTGGGCATCAACTCTAGAATGCAAGTATATCCAGCTGACGATTCCCAAATAAGACGAAATGGGCGTCCTGGATTTAACTGCTAGCCACCATCCATCTTTGCTACTCACTAGTAGTTATACATACTTCTATCATTCACTGGGACATAGGTTACTATTGAGCCTCGTAATTAAAAGAAATTACTGATATTTGGAAATCTCTTTTGAAATGATCTTTTAATAAAACATCTATTATATTAAATACTTAAGGAATCATTAAAAAATTTAGCAAGTGACCAGAAAAAAAGAAGACTTTAAGTTGTTTTCCATGTAGACTGATAACTGACTTTTAACAAAAACACTTATAAATTCACTTGGCATTGTTTGTTTGAATCTTCCCATTGATGTTTAGAACTGCAACTGGTCAGTCTCTAATTGGCATATGTGCATACTGTGCGTATTGCCTCGAGATAGCCTTAATTCACAAGCATTATAAGCAAAGATGACTAGTGGCTAGCAGTGGAATCCACGACGCGCGTTTCGTCCTATTTGGGACTCGTCAGCTGAATATACCTGCATCTCACAGTTGATGTTCACTCTGAAACTCGAACCCAGTATCTTTCGCTTCAAACGCCATCGCGTTATCCACTCAACTACTGAGTCCTGATAGCCACTTGCTTGTGCAATGGGGTGATGTTTGAATTCACTTAGTATTGTTTGTTTGAATCTTCCCATTGATGTTTATGACCGCAACTGGTCAGTCTCTAATTGGTAAAGACACTTATACATTTAAACTGTCTAATCAATTTAAAAGTAATATTGATTACCAATCTTACAGGATTATGTAACCAGAGCTTATCGTGTAATCAACTTTGGAAATTCTTAACTATACCTATT